ATCACACTAATCCAGCACGTTATTATTCTGAGTTGCCCCACTCAAGCGGCGGCCATATTGAGTGGGGCACGTGAGATTAATAACGTGCTGGATTACTGTGATCCTAGTTCATTGTATTACTTCATTGCTGTGCTGTATGTGTATAGGCCAATGTAGTTGGATCTGTATGTGCGCTATAATTAATCTAAATGAATCGATTAAAAATGTTTTCGATTAATCGAACACGAAAATTTTAAATCAGTAACAGCCCTATTGTTTTTAGATTATCACTATACAGAAATAGTACTCGACTCGACAGTTACAGAATGTGTAAGGTCACATAAGCAAAGCCATGTGCCACTACACATAGGTCTAGAAAAAGGGATGAAAACCAACTGAACAAAACCCGATTCAGTGTAATACAGGTAATATACAGGCAGTCCCCGAGTTACAAACATCCGACTTGCATACGATCCCTACTTACAAACGGAGGCCATTACTGTACAGCAGGGGGTCCCAGGCTACAGCCAAAGTGTAACGCGCAGCATTTCAGTAGTTGTAATGCTACAGCGCTCGTGCCAACGAGGAGTGCCCGCCCCTTTGGTCTGGTTTGTAGTACATTACAGGAAGTTGGCTCTTGTTAGACGTGCAGACGAGGGCTGCCCGCCTCTTCTGCCCAGGCCACGGTGAGGTTTTTACTGCTGTCTGTATCCTCATTAGAAAGATTTAATCTCACTTCCTGTCCTTGAGACAACGGGAAGTGAGAGGAAATCTACGCCTAGCAAGGGAAATTCACTCCTGTAAGAGTTTTAATTGGAAAAAGGAGTCTCCTCTGAAGCTTTATCACCAATCCTTGTTTCCACAACAACCCAACATTTTCAAAATCCAATTGGCACAGGGACAGAAAGTGAGGTGAAATCTTCTGAACAGGGGCACACACAGGAGAACAAACGTTACAGAGGGGTAAACCATTGCATTGGATATCCAAAACAAGAAAAACCTTTTTGGTTGGAGTTACACTTAAAAATTGTACCTGTTCCAACTTGCATACAAATTCAACTTAAGAACAAACCTACAGTCCCTATCTTGTTCGTAACCCGGGGACTGTCTGTACTGTACAGGAGTAGCATCAGAGCATTTGCTTACACTGTCAAAAAAAATGGCCAATCTGCTGATAAAACAATAAATCTGATGTGATCATAACTATATCCAAACCACCATGCAACGTTAAGAGATAGGCATGTGCACTGTGGTTTTCTAGCTAGATTTCAATATGAAATGGCTGTGTAGTAGATTTAGAGATCCTCAGTCTAGTTGTCTAGTAATGGTGAACTATAAACCCAGAGTATATCCTACCAGGCAATCTGGAAATTATAGTTCAGAAAGAGATATGAAACCACCTCATCATCTATTTTGTGTGGAAACATTCAGCTTACAGCACTGCAAGGAACAATCATAAAATGGGAAGATGACACTTTACTCTAAGCTGTTCAGCTCAGTTTTGAGGGGAAAACCTAAAAAACAGAACAATGCCATAACACTGGAATAGTACTAGAGGGGGTCTGAACAGACAATTTGTCCCAACTACTAAAATTATAGCAGTTCACAAAGACCTTTAGGCCTCTTTCACATGGGTGGTCTGATTGGGTCCGCCTGTCAAATTTTCAGGCGGATCTGATCGGAAGCGCAATGTTGGTCTATGGGCGGCCGGGTCTAAACAGAAAAGCGTCCATTTGCACCTTGGTTACCCCTGATTTTGACCAGGCCAAGGAAAAGCAAACTGAACAGTATTGTGTTTCACCGGACCTGATCATACCTGATAGGGGGTAATCTGATGTAAATGGAATAATCTGATTCCTCACAGACTGACATGGGGTCTGGTAGCTTAAGTTACACTGGACGGATAGAGATGTTACAGTGGTCACATGCGATCCATCCCGCTCCGTTCAGGAGGTGATCCGTGCACGGATCCCTTCGAGACCAGCCCCTGTAAAAGGGACCTTAATCAGAAATACTCAGTTCTGAAAAACAAACATTTATTCCACAAGCTGCAGTTTTAAAATCGGAAATCAGTGAAAACAAGAAATCTATTGAATTATTTTTTAAACTAAAACATGAAAAACAGTGGCTGCCACTTTTTAGTTGACTATACTTGCTGGAAATGGAGCATCAGAATCAGAAAAATTAGACTACTAATGTAAGCAATGGCCAGTAGTATGAAATTATTAGTCACATACCTGTACCAGCTGTTTTGCCAAGTGCACATACTACATGCGAAAGATGTTCCTCAGTTAGACCATTGAGTAAAGGTGCCCATACACCTTACGATTATCGGATGAAACTTTTCGTCCGATGATCGAACCGGCGTATGATTTTCGTACGACGGCCTCATCCTGCCCTGATTATTGCAAGGTTCAATCTAGGGCTGCAACAACTAATCGACATAATCGATTATAATCGATTATTGAAAAAGTTGTCAACTTTTTCAATAATCGATTAATCGGCTTCCGATCAGTTGGCCCTGTTCACGGCTCCACACACGTTATGCGCCGCACCTCCTCCCCACCTCACACTAACTAATCGATTTTGAAAATAATCGTTAGCTGCAGCTCTAGTTCAATCAGGGGTAGTTTAAAAAAACACCTGGACGACTTGCGGTAATTAACCGTAATTATTTTCGTTTGTGCATGCGCAGTGTTAATCGTACGACTTGACGGACGGAAACGCCACCAACCATGCGAACATCGTACGATCGACTAAAGTTTTCAAACATGCTTGACCGTCAAAAGTCGTACGATTGTACAGTACTATCGGTCGGGCACTACATTCACGCATTACGATTGTCGTACGAAAAGTCGATCGCATACGATTATCGTACGATAATTGTAAGGTGTATGGGCACCTTAAGTGTTTTGCCCACTCTCTTAAGGTTTATAAAACAAGCAATGATGCTAAAACAAGACGAGGTAAGGATCCTGTGACATTGTACGTAGATCTAGCAATGGTTTCGACTTCCTGTCTGTATGATCTTTAAAAGGAAGGTGAAATCTCCATTGGCATAACAGTTGCCTTGTTTAATCAACAAAATGGAGGATCCACTACCGGCAGAGATGCCCCTTTTTAGTAAAATAATTCTCAAAGAGGTAATGGGTTAAAAAGCAGCAAGTTGGTCGCGGCCACTCTTCAGAGATAATATTCTCCAAAAATAACGAGTAGCAGCAAAGAGCCTCTCCAAAAAAAATGAGTAGCAGCCCAGGGCCTCAGCAGAACACTGTGGCTTACGCAATCTTAAGTATATATCTAACTGACTTAATCAGTGCCAATACCAACTGCTTCTCCAAGCGAAAAACTGATGTGGGAGCTTTGTTGTTGTTCCCCAAGGAGGCTGACCCTGCATCCAACTGCTCATTAGTTACCGAGAGTGCATCCACTGCCGGGGAAGACTCTTTAGACTCTGAGGGCACAGAGGGGAGCAAGGCGGCCATTTTGAGCTTGTCCATGGGTGAGAAAAAGCACATTCTACCTGCAACACAAAACTTTCTGCAATGGAGACCAGGTGTCCTGGGATGAGGATGGCCCTGAAATATACAAGGCTGGTAGTGAAGAACCAAAAGGATGGCCTGACCAAACACCCCCCTCCTCTGACATTTTGCTCCTGGCAACCACCTGCTGAGCCTGCAACAGTCTGGGGTGACTGACCAGTAAAAAGGGTGCACTTACAGAGCCCATTCTGTCCTGGTCACAGCAGCAGGTCCCTGTATGTTGCAGGCTGCCTGGCCACCCATACTGGCCACATTTCCAGCATGTGCCCTTGCAAGGAAATCCACCGTTGTTGCCTCTGGAAGGGGCAGCCCCTGGGCTCCCGATTGTTACTCGTACCTAGAATCTTAGGAACGCACCGCAATCCCTCACGAAACTTACCCCTGCGTTCTGGGGCGGGAGGGGGTGTGGCAGTACATTAAATTCAATGGCACCGGTTCTACGCCCCCCACCCGCAGTACGATCAGACACGTGGCAAAACTTTGCCTGCGTTCCGTTCCACTGCAAACAAAAAAAATGCTGCTTGCTCTATTTTTTTGCGTTTGCAGTGGAACGGAACGCAGGCAAAGTTTTGCCATGTGTTCGATCGCACGCCGGGCGGGGGTGTGTGGAAGTGGTGCCATTGAATTCAATGCCCCGCCACACCCCCTCCTGCCCCAGAACGCAGGGGGAAGTTTGGTGAGGGATTGCGGGGCGTACCAGCAGCTACCACTCTGGAACGCACCGCATTTGGTGTGAACAAGACCTTACTCCCGCAAGTGGCACTATGCCCAGTAGGAGAACATCTAAAAAGGAGCCCATACACCTTACGACCATCACAAGACTTATGTCTTGCGATGGTCGTATGCTTATTGAAAGCTCGTACGATCTGCCCACCTTGGACGGGCAGATCGTACTTGCGATCATCGAAAGCCCGCCCCACTGAGGGGCGGGCTTCCGATGACCGCAATGCAGAACGGGCAGTGTGCGCGTGCCCACAGCGGCCCGTTCCGCAGCTATCGGACGAGCAGGCTAAAAACCCGCCGACAATCGTACGATTCTCGGTGGGTTTTCGAGCATGTTGGTTCGACAAAAGACGTGCGACCGTACAGTAGAAACGGTCGCACGTCTTCGTTCACACTGCTCGATTCTCGTATGATCGCGGGATTTTGCCCGATTCTCGTACGAGAATCGAGCAGTGTATGGGCACCTTAAAGCAGAGCTGTGTGCTCGAATTAGCAAAAGAGAAACACTTGTTAATCATGTCAGAAATCTTGTGAGTCTCCTGTGCCGACTCATCAGTTACATTGTTCTCAGCTCTAAATAAAGAAGCACACCCCTCTGTTATAAACATTAGCAAATGCAATCTTTTTTCTTACAACAATACATATGGATTATATTCTTTAGACACAGGAGAGCATTTATGTGACCTGAACATTTTAATGAAAATGCACAAATTACTATAATCAACTGTATATGGGTATAAATGTTATTATTCTTACCAGTTAGTGACTGGGCATATATGGTTGTTTGATAATGCCATGGCATACCTGTAATAAAAACAAAAGGAACATTACATACTGTTTTCATATGTTCATGACAAAGCGATGCGCAAACTGTTGGCGCTATATAAATCCTGAATAATAATACAAAAGTTGTACATTTTTCTCTGTACCCCAGCATTAACGTCAATGCTCTGACATTTTTCCATAAGATTGTAACACAATAGACAGGCTTACATATAATTGCATTACTCCATTGTCCATTTTGTTGGATCTCATCCTAATATGTACAATGAATCTTTCATGAGTTTCAAAATCACTTAGGTCCTCACGCTTAGACCTCAATGAACCATGCAATTGCTGCCCCACAGAAGAAAGACAATCAAATTCTAAATTTTTCTTCCAACTTTTACTATCTAATAGGGATGCGCCGATACCGTTTTTCCCGGTACTCGCCGATACCGAGTACCAGTGCCATATGTCCAGACTATCAGGCTTCCCGATTGCCTGTGAAGCCGGCATGCTAGCGAAAAAGTACACCGGCTTCACCTGCCGAGGCTGCCTGGCTTCCTGACTAATCAGGAAGCCGGGCGGCACGTCATGACCCACCTCCCGGCTTCCTGATTGGCTAGGAAGCCAGCGTCACTTGTTAAGCAGCCTGACTTCTAAAGCTGCCCATACACCCGACGATTATCGCACTATGGGTTTAGTGAAACATTAGGGGTCTGAATAGACCCCTAATATGTGGCTTTTCAAATAAAAAAGAGAGATTGAGGACAGAGAATTCTTAATCCTCCTCTCTGTGGGAAAGTGCAACATCATATATGTTGCCACAGCGCACGAAAAGGACAACACGCGAAAGAGGGGGAGAGAGAAATCAGTAAGGGCCCATTCCCACCAGTAGGCATGCGCTATGGTGCACATAATGAATGTACTTGTGTGCGCTGTTGCAATGCATTGCAGTGCTTAGTTTCTTTTTTTAAACTTCTTTTTCGTTCATTCAATGTTATGTGCAGCAGCACATTGCAACATAATGCACATTGCAACATAATGTTAAACATGTTAACGCAAAAGGGTTAGACAAATGATAAAATGAAGAGGACATCCATCAAAAGCTTTAGACAGTGTGCACTGCTCCACAGACCCAAACTTTGTCAGAAGGTACTTATTACAGCGTGTACTACAGATCCAACATGTACTTGCTTGCACAAGTTGCTCAAACAAGATTTTTGGCAACCGGTAAAACTAGCAATCCATTAGAGACATGTGGTGATATTACTTCATTACAAAGTACACTTCTACAATGTTTGACTGAAAGCTGCTGTTTAAGCTTTCCTCTCCACCACACTGTGGATTGTTGAATGTCGCCAGATTAGACAGGTCACACACACTTCTTTAATTTAAAAGGACATACAGTCATGGCCAAAAATATTGGCACCCCTGCATTTCTGTCAGACACTTCACCACTTCGCACAGAAAATTGTTGCAATTACAAATGTTTAGGCATTCTCATGTTTATTTTTTTATTTGTATTGGTATGACACCAGAAAAGTGGAGAAAACTCCAAAATGTACCGGGCAAAATTATTGGCACCCTCAATTCATATTTGGTAGCACAACCCTTGGAAAAAATATCTGAAATCAAATCGCTTCCTGTAACCATCAAAACATTTCTTACACCTCTCTACAGGAATTGTGGACCACTCTTCCTTCGCCAACTGCTCCAGGTCTCTCACATTTTCCCAAATGCTGTTTGGAGATCTCTCCACAGGTGCTCTATGGGATTTAGATCTGGACTCATTGCTGGCCAGTCCAGTACTTTCCAGCGCTTTGTCTGAAATTATTTCTGGGTGCTTTTTGACATGTGCTTTGGGTCATTGTCCTGCTGTAAGACCCATGACCTCTGACGGAGACCCAACTTTCTGACCCTGGGCCCTATCTTGCACCCCAGAATTATTTGGTAGTCATAATGCCATGCACACAGTCCAAGCAGTGCCTGAAGCAGCAAAGCAACCCGAAAGCATCAGTGAACCTCAACCATGTTTGACTGCAGGGACTGTATTTTTTTCTTTAAAGGCCTCATTTCTTTTTTCTGAAAACAGAATGAGCTTTACCAAAAAGCTGTCATTTTCTTTCGTCTGTCCACAGCACATTCTCCGAAAAGGTTTTTGGCTTCCTCAGGTAAGTTTTGGCTTTTTGATGTTTCTGTGTCAGCAGTGGGGTCCTCCTGGGTCTCCTACCATAGTGTCACTTTTCATTCAGACAGCGACGTATAGTGGGAGCTGACACAGTTGTACCCTGTGCCTGAAGGTCAGCTTGAATTTGTCTGAAAGTTGATAGAGCGTATTTATCCACCTAACAATCCTTGGTTGCAATGTTTGATCAATAGTTCTTTTGTCCACATCCAGGGAGATTAGCTACAGTGCCATGGGCTGTAAACTTCTTGACAATGTTGCGCACAGTGGACACAGGAACATTAAGATCTCTGGAGATGGACTTGTAACCTTGAGATTGTCCATGCTTTTACACAAAAACTTGAAATGCAATTATTTCTTGCAATTTGGAGAAGGTGCCAATCATTTTGTCCAGTCCATTTGTGGAGTTTTGTGTGGAATGTGTCAGGTTTGGCTTTTTTATCTCCACTTTTTTGTGTCATACCAATATAAAACAAAAGAAATAAACATGAGAATGCCTAAACATCTATCATTAAACATTATCTGGCACTAATGCAGTGGTGACAATATTTGTTGGCCATGACGGTGTGTGTGTGTGTGTAATGTAATATATATAAATATATATATATTTGTATATATGTTATTTGCTGGAGTCCCAAAGCTTTAGAAATGGCTTTAAAACACTGGCGACTTACCTGTCGCCAGATCGCTTCTGTGTCCCGAGGAAAGGGCCGCCCCGCCCCCTCTCAGCCGGACACCGCCGCCGTGCTTCCCGGGCCCTGTTGCCCCTCCTACGGCCCGGGACCGGCGTCCTTTGTGTCCGCGGGGAGCTGGGGAGGATGTCGACGAACTTCCGTTCAATGGGACCGGGAGCGATGCAGATTGCATCACTTCCGGTCCCTGGGCTGTCAGTTCTGGGCTCCTGCAGCCCAGCTATAAGCTATTGATGTGCGATCTGCACTTCAATAGCTTATTTCCAGTGTAAAAGAGAAATTGAACTCAGGTGTGATAAACCAGAGTTAAGTTATGTTTTAACAGGGGAGGGCAAACCCTTTTTACACAGGGCCATGCAGGTTTTTTTTTTCCCTGAATAAAAACCTTCCTTTAAAAACTGCATGTTGTGCTTACTCGAGTTATCTTTGACTAATATTTAAATTTGTAAGTGTGACAAACGTGCAAAACAATGTAAAATCAGGATGGGGGCCAACACTTTTTCACACATCTCTCTCTCTCTCTCCCCCCCTCCCTCTCCAATGGGCATTAAGATTGAAGACTTTGATCACTACAAATTCCCAATCCAGACTGGTTTCTGCTCAAGTGTGTTATGCGAATCTTCCAGTGTTCAGTACAGTTTAAAAAAAAAAAACACTAAAAATAGCTGCAGTAACTACACAGATCAACAATACTACCTAATGACTTGCATGAAGCCCAAAGGCTACAGACAATGCGTTCAATACACTAAATAATGTGCTATTTTATGTCATGCCTTGAAAACTATCCTTCCATTTCTCTAGATTTCTCCATTCATTAGGGAAACCATCACAACTACTGAAACTGTATGAACCAGGCCCGGAACACTGCACTTACTATGGGAGCGCACACACTATCTAGTAAGGCAGTTCATAGCTGCATCATACAGACGTTAGGCTTTTTAATGCAGATCAAGCTACCCTTTAACACAGGGGTGATCTGGAGCACAAGGACAAAGAATCTGGGCCAGTTTCCATTGCAGCAGTACACGCGTTTGCATTACAGTAATGCACAGGTGTGAACAAAACCTAATGGTGTAAACCAGCCAAAAATCAAGCCTTAAGTTGCCCTGTGTGCAACTGAAGGCTTGCTTTTTGGCTGGTTTACACCATTAGGCCTTGTTCCCACCTGTGCATTGCTTTAATGCAAACGCATTTGATGTGCGTTGCATTAACAACCCCAGTCGTTTTGAATGGGTCACAATGCACTAAAGATGCTACATTTTTCTTAACAAAATGCACAGCTCTTCCACATCTGTGTGCTCCGGTGTGTTAAACACACATGCACTGTGGTGCATGCGTTTGTGTGTTTAGATGATATTCAAAATGAACAGCTCTGCATTGCACTCTGTTACATTGTGTAAAACACGCGTTTTATAGTGCTTTGCCTCAATGCACAGGTGTGAACAGGCCTTTAAAGGCTAGGACAACAAATCTTTGGGGGGTGTTTGTTGTTTTTTTAACACTGTCTACGAAACAGAAAGACGTAGCCTTTATTAGATAAGTGTATGCGAAAATTACAAACACAACAGGTCAAGCGATCACCATGCAGAAACTACTGGAAAGCTGCTCTTGTTTGTAGCAGTTAAGGAGAGGAAGGAAAAAGATAGCATCAAAATGTAAAAACTGTAAATAGCATGTTCCAGTATTTATAAAGAAGTTTTATGGTAAAAAAGATTTGTTAGATGGTCAATACCATCATTTTTATGCATTTATGATTTGTTATAGCACAGAAGCACAGTATTCACATAACTACCATCATCATGTCATTACTCAAAACGTAACTGCAACCACACCATACTTTACCTTAAAAATCTGACAGAAATATCACATTTCTAGCCACTCTGTAATAGCAATGTCCACATCGTAGGAAGGGCAAATAATACAATCCAACAGCAGTAAAAAAAAATAATAATAATAATAATAAATGTAATGCATGTGTAACGGCATACTGTTACGATTACACAAAGTGACACTAAACTGTCCTTCCTTCTGGAGGGTGGCTACATTTGTTCCCCACGGCCCCTACATTACTAAAGGACACACAAGTAACTTCAGCTGGCCATGAACTGTTACATTTTTTTTTTTCAGAGACGCTGTTCGAACGTGACGACGGCTGATTGGCT